ATAACTTAAAAAAAAAAAAAAATTGAGCCCAAAAAAAATTTTGAGCCCAGAAGTTCAGGGTGGGCCTGTGCCCATCCTGGGCCTAACGTGGCTCCGCCCCTGGTCACTTTGATGTTGTTTATTGAAGTTGTACTAAACAATGTACAAAAATATTTTGAGGTCAGAATTATTGTTTTGAACTACAATGCAAGTCATTGATAATGTATATAGTTAGGTAATATATCGTGATGATACATGCAATCATGCATGAAAATTGCATGCATTTTGTTACGCATTTAAGAAGTTCAAAGACGTTGTATTAAAATGTAATATGGCTCATTTAAGAAGTTTGAAAAGTTTATAGAGGTTGAAATTAAATTTTTAAAGTTTCTAAGGGCTGAAGTGGAAAGGGTAAAAATATCGTGTTAGCATAGAGAAATTATTTAGGAGGCAAATAGAATAGTATCGACAGGAAGTTATTAGTTGCAAAAAGTCCACTTTTGGGCCAATTTGCAATTTTTAAGTTTTTAGGGACTTGAGTGGAAATATTGAAATATATATATAATTTTGACCAAGAAATTTATATCATGAATACAAGGACATTCTTTTGAATTTCTACTTATTTTGGTATAAAAAATTCAAGTTAGGGTTTGGCCGATTGAATAAGATCCGAGCACGTTAGTTCACGATTCAACTCGACTAGACAACTTGCAAATTTTGACTAGTACTGTACGATTAAAGTTAGTGCCATCCATTTTGATTGATTTTTTTCGAATTGATTATTATTTGGACAACTTAATAGAAAAGATATCTTATTTTAAATATTTGTCAAAATGCTTATTTTTAAATTGATCGCATCAATTTTCAACTCAACGCTTTACTTGATTGGTTACCAACTTATTGGTGAGTAGAAAAAATTAAGACCTATTGTATTGTTCAAGGTTCCTTAGCATTCTTTGTACTTAATGTGATTAGAGTATATCCTGCAAAGTATATATTGACTTATGAGATATATTTTGATTAAATTATTTAATTGTCCCAATAATTGGATACGGCATTGTTGCGTGACTTTGATAATGCCTTTGGAATCCATCCATATGAAGTTCACATCAACATCGGTATGTTCACCTTAATGTACATTTCTCACTTTTTTCCTCATTTTTGAATTTGTAAATGATATCTCTCTTCTAACACTGAATACTATTGAACAAGATTTTCTTGT